TTTATAATTTCCTCCCTTGTATGAGCTTTGGGTTTGTCCTGCTCTTCTTTTTCTAGAAGCTTGAGGTTCAGCATCAGGTTGTTTCATTGGACTCTCTCTGTTTTCCTAATATGAGTATTCATTGCTATGAATTTTCCCAGTAAGACTGCTTTCATTGTGTCCCATCAATTCCAATATATTGTATAGTCATTGTCATTTAATGGAAGGAACTGTCTGATTTCTTCTTTAGTTTCCTCTGTGACCCATTGCTTATTCAGAAATGTGTTGCTCAATTTCCATGTGTTTATGAAATTCTTGCAGTTTCTTTTGCTATTGATCTCCAATTTTATCGCACTATGGTCTGATAATATACAGGAGATAACTTCAATTCCTTTGCACTTACTTAAACATGTTCTATGAACTAGTATGTGGTCTATTTTGGAGAATGACCAGCATGCAGCTGAAAAGATTATGTATTCTGATTTTGTGGGGTGGAACTCTCTGTGAACATCTGTTAAGTTCATTTGTTCAACAGTTTGAATGAGTTCTAGTATTTCATTGCTTATTTTTGTCTAGTTGATATGTCTATTTGTGACAGTGGGGTATTGAAGTCCCCCACTACTATTGTATTAGTACTTATTTGATTTTTCATGTTCATTAGTATTTGTTTTATATATTTTGGCACACTAGTGTTTGATGCATATATATTTATGATTGTCATCTCTTCCTGTTAGATTGTTCCCTTCACAAGGATGTAGTGTCCTTCTTTATCTCTCTTAATGAGTATTGGTGTGAAATCCACTTGATCTGCAAAGAAGATAGCTACTCCTGCTTTTTGGGGGGATCCTGTTGCATGGAGTATTGTTTTCCACCCTTTAACTTTCAGTCTATGAGTTTCTTTTTGAAGTGTGTTTGTTTCTTGTATGCAGAATATTGTTGGATCTTGCTTCTTGACTCATTCTTCCAGTCTATTTCTTTTGATTGATAAATTGAGACCATTAACATTGATGGTTATAACTGATACATGTTGATTTATCATTGTCATGACTTTTTCTTTCTGTTGGATTGTCCCCCTTGCATTTAATTTCTTGTCATGCCCAATGGATTCATTCTGCTGGAGTTTTGATCCTTGTTGTCTTTTCCTAGGATATTGTCTAAAATTTTTAGAGTGCTGGTTTGGTATTCATGAAGTTCCTAAGGTGCTCATTGTCATGAAAGTATCTTATTTCTCCATCAGTTTTGAAAGATAGTTTTCCAGGGTACATAAATCTGGGTTGGAGGCTGTTTTCCTTTAGGGTTTGGACTACATCACTCCAAGCTCTTTTTGCCTTGATGGTTTGTGTTCAGAAGTCTGCTTTGATTCTGATGGGCTTTCCTTTGTATGTGATTTGTTTTTGTTTTTGTTTTTGTTTTTTGTCTAACTGCTTGTAGGACTTTGTTCTTCTGTTAGGTTTCTGGAATCTTAGCAGTTATATGCCTATGTGTAGATTTTTTTTTTTATTAAGACTAGTTGTAGTCTTATATACCTCACTTATTTGTATTTCAAGTTCTTTTCCTGTGCTTGGGAAGTTTTCTGCCATTACTTCTGTGAACACTTTTTTATGTCATCTGCACTCTCCTGTTTCTTCATTGACTCCAATCAGTCTGATGTTATTCTTTGCATAGTCTAGCAGCTGCTGGATTGATTTCTCATGGTCCTTTAC